ATTTCAGCAGAAGGGGGCGCCGAACCATACGCCAGAGGGACGTGTCGTATTAACTGCCCTAAAAAAAGATCCGAATGTTGTTATCACAAAAGCCGATAAAGGCAAGACCATAGTGATAATGAACAAAACCATTACTTAGAATAAATGAGCACCTAGTGGCGGGACCATATAAGGTTATCAACAATAAGACAGAGCTAGTAACTACTTGGGAACGTAAAGTAGTAGCTAGAACGCGGAAAATGGTAAAATATATACTACAAGTCAACCCTTCCACCAAAAGTGTATGGGTTATCGAAGATACATAAGCCCGAGGTATCCATTCGACTTATTGTAGATGGTATAGGTTCCCTAACGCGTGAACCAGCTAGAGAGCTGGCTAGCCTATTGCCACCGTTGACAGGGCGAACGAATACATTCGTAAATAACTCATGACTGCACGAAAGGTGTCGGGTCTTAAGATTGAGTCGGATGAATGTATGCTCAGTTTTGACGTTAGCGCCCTTTTTACTAACGTGTCAATATGAGACACTTTCGAGATAGCGAAACACCTTCTAACTGGGGACAATAGCTTGGGAGAGAGGGCGAGGCTTACAGTGGATCAAATAACGGAAAGAATGACATTGTGCCTTAACATATCTTATTTCATGTTCTAGTCTAGATTATGTACTCAGAAACAGGGACTTGTCATGGGATCACTAATATCCCCCGTATTGGCAAATTTGTACATGGAAGGCTTTGTAATGGGACGCTAACTAACTCTAATAGTGCACCGAAAGTTTGGTGGTGCTATGTGGACGACACTTTAGGATTATAAAATGAGATAAGAAAGACGAGCTTCTAAAGCGCTTGAACACTCTTAGGGAGACTATAAATTGCACCATGGAATGGGAATCTTGCAGTGGCACATTGCCATTCCTTGACTGCGTGGTTCACAGGAATAGTGGTAGTCTAAAAACAACTACATATCGGAAATCGATGGACAGATGGTTTACTGCATTACAGTCCCAAAGCATGTGTATATTGGAATCACCTCATCTCTGTTTCACAGAGCCCGGACCCTGTGCATAGAGGAAGAAGATAGGAAGGCCGCCAGGAAAGAAACAATGAACCAATTGCTTGGTAGTGGATACCCGAGGCGGTTAGTGAAACGACGATTGAGGCGAATTTTAAATCTACACCCACGGTGTACTACGGAGTAGACTGGAGTGACGCTTTGACGTGTAACGCGATTAACATTCTGCCTACATCTTATTCGTAGCGATTTTCTTCCCAGTTCACTATAAGTGCCATACCAATCGTTGACTGGTTCACTCAGCCTGGCGAAGCTTTTGCGTCAAAAGCGAAAGGTTGCCGACAAACTATATCAATCGGACATTTTCAAACCTTTCTGAAATAATGAGTTCTAGACCGGTTCCAAACATTTTTCATGATGTCTAGTAATATAGTGTTAAGTGTCATATCATTCATTCGTTATGAGATCGTAATTGGAGAGGGAATCTAAAAGAGGAGGTGAACAAGGGAACGCACAACACAAACACCATTTCGGTCGGTTCCTAGCCATGTCAGCAAGTGTGTCCAACCAGCCAGGCAGTCGGGATGCACCAACCGACGACAAGAGCGAAGTGATGGCCTTCACTCCACTTGACCAAGTTACTGCTTGGCCTCCCGTCCTCTTCTTTCATCCAGACCCCGGGTGCGCAAACAAAGCACGTCGCGGGAGTCGGTGGACAAGCATGTGCAACACGTACCCTAGCCATCGGAGCCTGCTGCGTGATATAATAATGCGGAGCGGTTCACTAGCTCATCGTGCACCAAATACACTACGCCGAACACATTTATTGCTCACCAGATATGAACTAAGCTGCGAAAACAGCGATGGTCCAACATAGGTAGACTCTTTATGTTTGCCGATCTGAGATTTCACAACAGTATAAGAGGATTGAACAGACGGCTGCATTGCAAACTCGGCCCTTCATGGATACAACGATGTCGCGTCGGCGTCACGGCGATGATTGGCAATACAGTTCGTGGCCACATCTTCAATCCCATGGGCGCAAATATAGTTACCCAGGTACTTGAACGACTTCTAGCTGATCACAACCGAAGGGCAGCACAAGGGTAGGTCTCTGTCAATCTTGGAGAAGGGCTTTGCATTTCGAGGGAGCAAAGCATAGAACAAAACAAATGACAGACGGTTCTAATCTGTCCATTACTGCGTGGCACATTTGGGCAAAGTTACAAATTAGAGCAATGTCATCAGCATACTCCATGTCAAGAAGTAGCTCACCAAGAAGCATTTCTAGCGAACGCTGTTTCCAGGACTTCGTCAAAAGCGAACCTAAAGTGACAGCGGACAATCTTGTCTCACACCGCTTGAGATACGGAAGTGCGGCGCCACTTTGCCATAAACCTTCACTCTGGTCGAACTATGCGCGTACAATGCTCTGATAACGTTTACGTATTTGGTGGGCATACCGTTTTAAAAGGTTTGGCAACCGACAGTTAGTGTATTTGTTATACTGTACCGACTGTTTGCCAAACCTTTTGAGACGATGACTTCTCGATCGGTTCCAAATATTTTCCAAGATATACAGTACAATTGCAGGTACAAATTTTCTGAGACAGTAACAAAGAACACATCGATCCACCGAATTGAAAGCCCCTTTGATGTCGAGAAACATGACTACAATAGGTAGACAATAAATATATCGACGCTCCAACAATGGAGGCATAATAAAGATGAGATCAATGCAGCCTCGACCTCGACGAAACCCGACCTGCTTCTCGCGAATGACTCACGAGTAATAGTCAGTCTGTGAAGAGTGATTGGCGCAGGAAAGTTAGAGGCGATTGAGATCAAACTGAAGCTTCTACAATCGCCGCATTCCGGAAGGGAGCCTCCTTTGAAAATTGGGACTAGAACGGAAAGTCTCTACTCTGCTCGGCCGGTTTCCCGCACTCAAAGTTGCACTACTAATTCGTGTAAATAATGTACAAGAGCACGCCCGCCGAATTTGAAGAGGGCTAGAGAAATCCTATCTGCACCTATGGCCTTATTCAATTGCAACAGACTGATCATACGTTCGATTACTGTGCGTGAGAGCGGATCCAGGGGAACGCCCAAAGTGTAGGGCGATAAATGGCCGGTGGAGAATCCGACAACTCTGATTGATTGAACTGCTTCTTGAAGTGTTCGGCTCCAGGCTCCAAGCGTTTTGACAAGCAGTGGACAAACTGTCCACTCTCGTCGCGTATGGTCTCGATAATACTAGGTCTGTTGCCCGTTTCCCATATCAGATGGAATACGTTACATGGTAAACAAAGGAAGCGGCTGTTTCCAATTCCGATGCACCAGACTTCGCAGTCACTTTAAACCAGTGGGCAGCTTTCCATGAGATTTTTGCACGTCACATTATGTACGCGTCCAGCAGGAATACGTCGGCGAGCATTCGGAAATTCCAGAGACTGTATAAACGCAATGTCCAGGTTGGCAGTTTCGTTTACCATACGAAGACATGCTTGCTGATAGTAACATCTGGCGAATATGCGACCAGTGGTCTTCAACAAGGTTAGGTGAACGCTTCTCAGCACAGGTGCCAGAGAAATTTGTTACGCATTCTGAACACCTGACTTGGCCAGTTGTTTGGTGTCTATGCGCACAGAGACGTTGCGGGCCTACGCCGAAATGTACTCTAAGGTCGGCACACACACACACAACAGCATGATCGGAGTCTACGTTCCAAATCGAGCGACAGTTTTGGACGCAACCTCTGCAGCGTTAACTGATCGCGATGTGAGCGATTTGCACCCATGGCTTGTCCGAGGCTGGGGTGCGTCAAGACACTTTTCTGCGAGTGCTGTGTCGAAAACTAGTGCTCAAAAAGTAGTTACGAGCATCTTCACACATGTGTAGCAACCGCTCACCGTCATCACTACGAGCCAACAACCTTGCTGGCCGTCCAGATGAAGCTCATCAGAGGACAGTTTTCCGACTTGGGCATTCAGATCACCAACAAGCAACACGGTATTCGTACTATTTCGTTAACGAAGGAGATCGTTAATTTGGTGATAGAACTCATCTTTCACCAAGTCAGCGCTAGTTTGTGGGTGCGTACGCCGCAATTAAAACAGGTACAGTTTGTCTTCGCGTGACTTCGAAGCCTGGAACGAGCTAGCCAATCTAATGGCGCACATCCGGCAGTCGATCAGGGCAGCTTCCGCCCAAAAACTCAAAACAATTCCAACATCGGCTTGACCGGAATTTGAAGCTGCATCATCTCCAGATATGCGCAATAAGAATGTGCCGCCAGTGTCGCATGTGGAGTATCGCAGGGTAAGTAAGGAGATCGGATCTTGCAAGCAGGTTTTCGATAAGCAGCAAACCTCAATCGATGGGGCCTTTAGTGTTCGAGTAAGTGTTATCTGTTGGTCAATCTGTGGCAATGTGCGCACAATGAGGCATACCAGTCTTAGTGAGGATCGAGGGCGCCAAATGGAAACGGATGAACCGAGGTTTTACGCTTGGTTGAACACGGACTTGTCGAGTGGATTGGAGCGACGCCCTGCGATTCCGTGTGAGTTAAAACTAAAAGACAAGCGGCTATTGAAGCAAGTCGGAGAAGGGGCAAGAATTAGTGGATTAAAAATAGGAGGGATAAAAGCGAAGTAGGAGCGTAACGATAAGGATGAAAAACCGCGAGAAAGGGGATACGTAACAAAGGGGTTCGTGAAAAGAAACAGAAACTAGCAATTTTTATTCGTTCAATAAAGAATATGGTGGGGCTCAGTAAATAAAAGGAAAATCTGCCAGTAGATGACGGAGATAATATTTTTTAGAGCCGAGGTTCAGATAAAATTCGACTGTCTCGGTCAACTTGCGTGGATAGACAATAGATAATTTGATCAAAGTATGCAAAGGCGAATCAAAGATGTGCGCACTCTGGGAAATATTTACTGCTAGCAGTTAGTAAACAGTAGTAAACACTTCGATAATAACTTACCTGGATTGTACCAGTTGATTGAGGTGAGTACAAGGTTTGCGGGCATTAAGAGTAATACGATATCTCAAATTAGTTGCTTGAGCCAACAGACATTTTGCTTCTTCTACAAGAACACTTGCCACGTGGAGGTTAGCCTTCGACTGTACTCTGTTCCTGACATCACTAAAGAGTTTAGATGCAACTGAACAAATGAGGGAAATTGTCTTAAAAACAGGCATTTAAGTCTAAAGTGAACTAACAACCAACCTCGATAAATTTTGATTGCATATCACGTAGACGCAACGCTGTGCTCAGCTTGCATACAAGTAGTCTCCTTGGGTTATCCACGAACTGCACTAAGAAAATATCAATTGGAAATGGTAACGGAAACTGTACGGTCGATGTGACATGGTAACAAACATAGTCTCTGTTTAAGCTTATCGGCTACACGACTGAAAAATAAATCTTGCATCTCTTTTCTCAGAGGAGCGACTTTACGCCCACGCGAAGCCCCAGATGGCGTGGTAGGCAACAAGTGGACTCGTGCCCACGCAAGAGAAAATATATCGTATAGATCAGATTCAACTTGGGGTAGAATACCCAACTCAGCATCATAGGCCATGTCGAAGAGAACCTCTTGAATGAGGTAATACTCAGCTTCCGTGGCATAGACCTGTGTCCATGATGAAGATGAGCCAAACTTCACCATAAACTGAAGAAGAGCAATCTCACTTGGCTGTCGAATTTTTCGATATAGGATATGGTCTCCTGAACGATATCACAAAACGCATCTTTCATATCCCTTGGAAATGTGAGCTAAAGATGGAAAAAAACAATAATGACAACAGCAACAGCAGTACATAAGCAATTTAAGCTGTTGCTTTGCCATGTACAACTCAAAAGATCTACGGAGCGAAGTATAAAAAGGAAAAAAGGAGGACCTAGCGCAGAATGTTTACGCCCAAAGCAAACATTCAAGGTCAAGGTGCCTGTATTTTATCAACAACACACAGTGACTAACAGCTTGCAATCGTTCAAAGACAGATTCTTTGGTGTTTGCACTGCCCCGCGTCCCAACCAGCTATTACATCACAGTTAACTCAGCCCAAAATACAATGTAAACAAGCAGTCCGACCAGACGCCGGCAAACGCGCCACAGATGCCGAACGCGAGCCTTGTCTTGCAACCTATCAAGCCAAACACAAAGCAGGTAGAGCGGACTCATCTGAAAGTCGGGACGGATCAATAGCTTCGTTTAGTAGTCGGTGGCCCCGCTGCGAAGTCAAATTTTGCCCGCCTCGAGTTTTGCACCCCGTACACTCAGTTAAAAAGTAGGGAGGGAAACAGTATGGCACTTCCAAGTCACATGTTGGTCAGATGACTGTTCGACCTAGTCGAAAATACCCATTTATCAGCTACCAGAATAGATGCGTGACCGTTGAATTAGAAGCAATGGTCCATATGCAGAATTCAGGGTACATACAGCTTATGTTAGTCGTTAAGATAGCACTAACGTACTAAGCTGGTCTGAGCTATCTCAGGCTGTGTAGGGCTGTGGCAACTCGACGTAAAACAGCACAACAGAGGCGTTTTGGTTTTGTAAGGTTTGCAGCGCCAGCCACGTTGTCAGCCGCTGAAATGTGATAAGAAAGAAATGTGAAAGGCTGAAAGAAGCAATTGAGCAAGTGGTGAGCGTCAAACTTATGCCACTAGAGTTAAACAAAGCTACAGCTGCACCTCAACTAAACACTACGATCTCCCTATTAGGGACAAAGGAGAGAGCCCGGCGTTATAACACCACCTTGGCATTTCAGTCTTCAGCTGTACAAGCTCATTTTGCTTCCCCAAGTGGGCAAGCCGCCTACAGTGTGCCCGCTTCTACCCCCTTCCAGATTGTCACATCCAATACCTCGGTTGCCATACTTGCTAAGAGGGCACATTTCCTAGGGCTATCAGAGCATGTGAGGTTGGTGTGAGATCACACGTAGACAATGGGCAAATAAGTTCCCATGTTAGGAGACTGTGAGCTGAGACCAGGTAGCAGACTGCAAGCAAGCATCAGACTTAGGGAAACACGATGGTGGTTGTTCAAAAAGCGCGGGAAGTGGTGTGAGCACCAGATTTGAGCGCACATCGACTAATACAAGAGTGCTTATGCTAAACGAGGTGACCTGAGAATGGAATTCCCTGTGTAAGTCCCTTGTTGTGGCTTTCCTTGGCGGATTAGCTGTGCTTCCTAGCAGTGAGACAACAACAGATTTGATAAGGCTTTCATCCCAACAGTTCACAAACTACATAGCAGAGCCTAGTCCGGAAAAGCGCCAGACGCGTTTCGCCCTATTGGGGCTCGTCAGTGGCGCGCATTCCCTCGGTCCTCTAATGAGGATCGAACCCATGACCGCTAGAGGCAGATGCCAACTAGCCAGCAGCTTAAGCCACTGAGCCATGGGGGACGTCGGCTAGGCTACATAATTTGCAAACTAGCTGGGATATAGCACCACCTATCTACCACTGTCACAGATTTGGCGAAGGAAAACTACGCAAAATCTTAATAACCGCCGAAAATGGAAGTCTATCCTGATTCTGCAGCAAATTAATTTTGAAGCATCCCAGAAGCGACTGAGAGAAAAATTGATGAGACGATACGGCACCAGGTATTCAGTTCTAGTTCCGGAAAAAAACGCAGTCGACCCAAGTGCTATATATATATATATATATATATATATATATATATATACGATGCCCAGTATCATATTACGCATCACCTGTGAGGTACTTGGAGATGGAAAATCGGGAGGTAGTGACAAAGAAACTCATAACATGAACGCCATGGAGGCCAGCTCTTCGCCAGGTTAACAAGAGTATCTAGGCAAACGTGTTCATCGTCCTTAATACCCGAGCCCAGCAGCTGGGAGACACCAACCTATGCCAACTTTTAATTGAGCAATTTCATTCCTTTTGACCATGTCGTCGCTCGGCCTCTTCGCCTCTTCCATCTAGACTCCGGTCGCACAAACGACGCACAATGCGGAAGTCGGTGTGCTAGCATGCGCAACAGGCGGTCCAACCATCGGAGACTGGTGCATGATATAATGGTGCTGAGTGGTAAACTCAGTCTTCCTGCACTGGACGGACCGTAAGCTTTAAGGATAACAAGCCTGCCCTGTAATCCGAGGGCAAGAGTTGGGGCCTGTGCAGAGACCAGGTGACTCTCGCAGTATTCTTAACACACGTGCGACCTGTGGTGGTTCCGCGACAGCGAAGTGTCGGTACTGCATACCGCCGTACTGCTGATGTGCATTTTTAACCTAACTTCTTTCTGACACATTTTGCAATGGAAGCGTTATTGACAGCAGTTCTGATGCGATGAATCCCAATGGATAATATATTTGTATATTTGCAAAAGTCTGTTAACAGACATAATGCCATCAGAAACCATGGGATTCAAACGAAGGTACAGAACAGTAAAATAAAACACAACACAACAATGTCCATGGTTTCCTCAGAGGGCGAGATACTACCCGGTTGCCCAAGCCGAAGTAGGGTGTTGACTTAGGGGACACCACCCCGAGCCTTTGGCTGAATAGCCTGCCCGCAAGGCAGCGGAGCGATTTCAGGGAATCGCGCCCATTGGGAGCCGGTGACTGATTGCTCAGTTCATACGCCTTTTGTTTGTTCCTTTGTCAAACAGGGGCCCAATGCTCCCCAGAAGTACAGCATAAGGTTGCTGGAATACAATGCTTCGCCAGAATGAAGCAAGGGGCAGTGACTTTATTTAGTGGCGAGTCACATCCGCCACGTCACAGTGTTGTTAAACGGACATATGTGGCTTTTTATAGGGAGAACGCTTGCCAGGCGAAAACCCACCACGTCCTGGAACACTGCCGCCGAACCATTTGCTGGAACCGGAAAATCCCGAACCACCCAGCTGGCACCACGAGGAGGTTGTTCGGCAAGCCAGCCAGGAGGTTGTTCGGCAAGCCAATGGATAATAGACGGAAGCAAGCAATGAGAGCAAGGTTTCTCGAGGAAACACTATATCAAAACCCGCCATCTTGAAGTTTATGCGGCCCTGGGCGACATTCTAGTGTAAAGGGCACAAGCAAGGCAATAAGACTGGACCTTAAGCTGGTGCGATCATTTGCTTGTCTCAGCGATCCATTGAGCTGTGGTAGGTGGTGTTTCTTGCATCTTCAGAGTTACTTATGCCAGATTGGTCAATGGTTAGGGGCCGGACAGACTCAATCCAACGTACTACATGTTGGGGGTTGGAGAGAGGGAGGCTCCTTGTTTCTTAAAACAGACTCTTTGTTGCACATTGCCATACCCCCTGCCTTGCGATCACGTTATTGAACCAAAGGCTTCGGTTGAGAATCCTAGTTCTCATGTCTAGGCATAGGCAGCTTAACAATATCTTGCCCAAGCAAAACAATATAATGACTGTCTTCAAACAATCTCCTGATGCTCCGGCAGTCGCAGAGGATAAGCAATGGCGCCCCATCTGCTGCATCGCGCGTTGCGAATAGGTTTGGATGCCAGTGCTAAGGCCTACTTGTTTTATTATTTCCCGCTTATGAATTTGCACCCGTATCGTCCGTTTATCACTATCAACCGCAGTACATCAGCCACTTGAACTGATAGTGCACTGCCATACAAGCACAACGACCTACAGAATGAAGAATAATAAGAGGGAAAGGGGGGCTTGCCTGGGAAATTCGAATGCTATAAGCAAACATCCAAGGTCAAGGCGCCCACCCCTGGTCAACGACATACCGGCCGGTGGCCGAGTGGTCGGCACGTTTGGTTTGCAACTATAAGATCACCGGTTCGAATCCGCGTAGGGATAGGCGTCCTCCCGGTATACTCAGCCCGCACGCGACTGGTGGTGGTCGCGCGGCAGGGAAGCGCTGTTACGGTGTACAGCTGACACATTAGTTGTACTAGTAGTAGTAGTGATAGTAGTAGTAGTAGTAGTAATAGTATTACAAACAGCTGGTTATCGTGCAAAGAGAAGGCGGCATCAACGAGACAGCTCCCTTGCAGTTTCCACTGCCTCGCAAGTTATTCAATGCTATTTGTAGTTCTAAGGAGCTAGCTTGGGTATCATTGCCTAGTACTCGTCAAGGCACATCATCGTTGCGGACACGCTCGTGACACCCGACACCAGCAATACTCCGCAGACAGCGATGGTAAAAGACCTGAAGGTTTCTCAGATCCTCGGACCGAAAGGGCCAAGTCTCACTCCCATAGAGCAGCACAGCCCTCACCATGACCCAGTAAACACAGCAATTCAGACGGAGAGAAACAGCTTTCTGTCGCCATAGATATCGCAGATCCAAGAAGCCAGTTCTGGCATTTGCAATTCGTGAAATGACTTCAGTGGCTATGCCCACATCGTTGCTGATACAGTTGCTAAGTTAAGTTATTTGATCAACTACCTTGAGTTCCTTGGTTACAAGGGTCAAGGGGTCACCAAGTGGTGGTGGTCCTGCAGCAACAGTTTGCACTTTGGAGATGTGAAGCGCATGCCAAATAATGGGGCCGCTCTAGAGAGGCTACAGAGGATTGATTGGGCCGCACCAACATCGTTAAAGAGCAAGACGATATCGTCCGCATAATCAAGGTCAACTAACCTTTCACCAGGCAGCAGTTCAACGCTTATATCGTGGAATTCCGCAAGGGAACACTCCATGATGAAGCCCACGACGAAACTGAATAAAAATGGGGAAAGCGGACAACCCTGGCGAACGCCACGTTGTTGTCGGACAGCTATCCGACAGGTCATCATAGACCCTGACGCGGTCTGTAGTGTTCGA